GTAACTTTCATCTAACAGCTTTCTATTATACCGACGTTATTCCGACGTTATACCGACGTTATACCGACAGTATCAATACATTTGTTCACGACGACGATCGGCCGTCATATTCGAAGCTTTTGCTCACGCTTTCGCGCACCCGGTCTATGCGCGCTCTCATTGGTCAGTGTTTTTTGCTAATAACTCGAAAATGGAGCCTCAACCAATATTTTGGCAAAGGAAAAAGTTGTTCAGAATCGCCCCACCTACCACCCCTTTTCGGGTCCTACACTAATTGCGGGACACCCTGTATATCGTAGGTACTCTAAATTTGAAGTACACATTCGAATTCGCGTGAAGCACTTGGTTCACAGACCCACTAGTTAAATAAAGTTTGCACTACACCTGAGTGCAAACTTTAAATAAATGCATATTCATGTTACGAAATCGACACGTTACTTTTTTAAATGAGCATTTGCCACATGTACTGCAAAGTATTTCTCGTCTTACATATAAATTTAATTGACAGACGACTAACATAAGTACGAGTTTTACACGTCCATTACCAGTAAGTGGATCAATACGAACATTAAGTTCGAACATTTAAAAAAAAAAACGAAAAATGTCAATTTCAAAAGGTCAGCCCATATTGACTATGTGATACGCATTCGCCATTTTTGAATATGTTCATTCCTTACTCTACTTTCTTTTTAAAAACTGGATAAAATGACGTTCAAGATAAGGACGGACTTAATTTTAAACGAAAAATCACCTTCAGATACTTTCGTTGTTTCTTGATGGTGTCGTCTATAATAATTTATAATTTTCTGAACAATATTTAACAGTCAATCCTTTCGTTATATATGCACTTGGATAAATATCTTTTTCTACGAATAATATATTTTTGGTGCAGTTTTATAAACTCTGTTGTTTTGATATGTTATTGATAAATTATTTTTAAATTATTAAGATTTCCTAAAATTATTTATATTTAAATGAAATAATATAACTCATACAATCAATCATTATGTTACTTATTTATTATTAAGAATTTTATAAAATTATTGATATTCAAAGGAAATAACATAAGTAATATAATTATTTTATTTAAATATAAGTAACTTTAGAAAAGTGTTAATAATAAATGATTATATTAATTATATTATGTTCTATAGTTATTTCACCATTTGTAGTGTTTACTTAAGGGCGTATTCTCATTTAGAAAATTCCAAAAAAATTAATTTTGTCTATACGACAACTTGAAAATATATCTTCGAAATTTCATGTCTGAATTCATTAAAATAACAAAGTTATAACGATTCTGAAAAAAAAAACGAAAAACAAATACGTTTTTCTGGAAACCAGGTTTTTTCAATTTATCTACCACCATAAATAATGAATTAGCCAATCTTCAAATTTCACACACAGTATCCTCAAAATTCTGGTACAAACAGCAGACAGCTGTTTCTACGTACAAGAATAAATGAAAGACGAAAAACAACATTTTTTCATATTCGACTTCATTTCTGCGAAAATCCAATTTAAAAATTCTTCAAAATATTCGCAGTCTCGACAACTTCAAAAACTCTAATTGAATCAATACCTAACAAATATTATCAAGTTATAAATTGAATTATTGATATTGCAGAAATTATTAGTCCCTATGCTTTATAAAATTGTTACAATGTGTATTTATTATTATATATATTATATACTTATTTCGTAATTTTAACGAAGTCGAACTCACTGTACATGGAATATCAGCAACACCTTAAAAAACAATTTTTGCGAACGCACTTCACCAGCGTTAGATTTCACATTTATTGATTTGTAACATCAATCGCTTATTAAACTGACGAGAAAGTTGCAATAACGATTTTCTTGTTCGTAAAAAATTGGCTATAAACCCCACAAATTGAAGTTCCTTATAAAAGCTTTCAAACTGAACTTTACTATAAAGACATTTAAATTGGATTTTCTCAGAAACAAAGGTGAATTTGGAAAAATGTGATTTTTGGAACACCTTTTGGAACACCTTTTGGAACACCTAGTATAAAAAAGACTTTGATCTAGTTAACTCTGGGCTAATGACCATGGCAGTCGATGCCCATAACACTAATCATCATCTAGTTAACTCGAATTTTCTGAATGTTTTGGTCTCTAACGAACTTACAAATTCTATGAATTTTTACTTCGCATGGCCATTTACTTAAATTTTTATAAAATAGCAATCGTTACACAGGTTAGCACGAAAACTACTACAATATGACTAGTATTACAATTTTATTTTAAAATTCCTATTTCATTTTATTTTTTATTATTTATTTAAGGTAAAAATAACTTGAAGAGTAACTTAACTTTGAAACGGAAATTCATTTTGATATCTTTGTTATCAAAACTGATATTCTTTATTATATTTACTGTTATTGACATGTAAATAATAAATATGCCAACTTTATATTATAAGAATAATTTAATTTTTAAATAGAAATTTAATATTTTTGTTATTAAAACATGTATTTTTTAGATATTTATTGCTGTTGTTGTGTAAGTGATAAAATGTTCCAACTCTCATTTATGGATCACGGTCTCATTAATAATAGCAAAGAATGTACGTAACATGAAATTTTTTTTTAAAGAAAGTAGCAAATATAAAAATATTGTATTATGTATTATTTAACCAGGTAAGTGTGTTTGACGACTATATCCGTCATGAAGATGTGGCAGAATTTTGTGTCATGACGACTATATCCGTCATGCGTAAAATTTTGTTACAATTTGATATTTAAATTATAATTTTGGCGAAAACTAAATTATATTCATAAATTGTAATATGTTTAAAATGTTTAGAGGTAAACACGAAATGAAATAAACAAATAAAAAGTGTAAATGATTTGAGATGGTTTCATAAATTCTTGAGGGCTAACTTGTCATTGCTTAATTATCGCGACACACACTGGTACGCGCTTTGCAAAAAGATCGCCACAGTTAACTGGTTAAAGACCATCACTAACTGCTTTTAGAAAAAATTTCCTCCTCACTATCTGTACTTCTACTATTAAAATCATCATTGACTGTCTTTTAGCCAAACCAACGTCATTAAAGTCATATCATGAAAAAACTACAATAATTTTAATAATAAGGTAATTCTCTATAAAAACTATGTTATTTTCAAACATGATGAAATACATGTGCAAAATTTCAAAACCCTCAAGCAATAATAACCCAACAACGTTCTATTTTGCAAATTCTATTTTGCGTGTAATTCTTCTATTTTGTGTGAAATCAATGTGTTCCAAATGAGAATACACCATTAAAAATCAATTATCTAATTCATCACCAAAAATGAATTTTAAAGTAAAAAATTACTAATTTAAAGAACTGCTAATTTTACAGTTATGATACACACCAGTTTCAAATGTTACAAAAATATAAAGAGGTATTTAACTTTGTGGTTAATTTTTACATCCATGAAGGACATTCATCAAGAATGAAGTATGTAGTTATCCTTGTGTATAAACCCACAAAGATTAATTCGAACCGGTAAGTAAGGATATTTCCTTATTAGCTCATTAAAAATTTGCAACGTTGGCAAATTCTGACGCGTACAAATAAATTATGTTTCGCAACGCGTGTGCACTGTGTACAACAGTAAAGCATTTTTATTCAACTTCACCGTAACGAAAGGGTTAACTCGTTTAACACGTTAATCCCGAGTTGTCCTGAAAGTTTGTGCCGATTTCTAATAGGCTGCGTTGAAAGATTTACGATACGATCTAAATGGCGATATTCTATCCTGTATTTAGCACGAAGATTGTGGTTAGCTGATAATACAATCCAGTGGTAATACCTAATGCTTTCCTTCTGTAGAGAAACAGCAAAAGAGATACATGATTTATCGAAAAGTTTGATGATGATTTATTATTGTACAGGCTATATCTATACTAGGTCAACAAACTTTTTCACTCTTTAAAAATTCAGTACATAATGTAAAAGAATCTTCTGAAAATTTAAGCTCAAAAATTTAATATTAAGACATCGCTCAAAGCACTAATATAAAAATTTAAATCACATTTGTTATCAAAGTTAATAGAGGTAAAAATTTTCAGACGTAAACTCGCCCTTATTCTGTAAAAACGCTCGTTTTTATAAAAATGCTTTTCTGATCTCCGACAATTCTACTAGCTTTCTACCAAAAATGTTTTTGAGAAACGTGTAGAATAAAAGTTTACAAAGCTTGGCATTAACTTTCCAGACAACAAAGTACTTAAATATAAAAAACAGCCGTCTCGTAAAAAAGACAAGAAAAGCGACCTTGGTGCTAATCGTCCTTGCCCCAAATATCATTTTCACCAGATTACCACGTAGGGGTAAACACAGACAGGAGGAATAGAGAAGCAAACACGGGTTTAGGTTTGTGTACAGTGTACAGGTAAGGATAATGGGACACTAACTTGTGGATTGAAGGGTCTTTGCATTCTCAGAGCCTCCGGCAGCCCCCCGGCCTGTGAAAATACGACCAGGGATGGCGGCGGTAGATGATTCGGCACATACGCAGAATTATCCATCTAGAACAGATATAATCGCCGTGTTCCATTTCTCTCTCGCTCTCTCTACCGCTCAATCTTCTTCGTTGGACACTTGCCACGTGAATTTACTCGCGAAATCCAATCTACTCGAAACGAATCTGACCCATTCGTACACGTGACGACCAAATTTCGGCTGAACTTCTGGGCGCCATGTTTTTTAACATTTGTTGTGTGATAGTATTCGATAAATATAGACGACATACGACTGTCAGGAGTCTCACAAGGGAACATATCCAACCCAGACACGCCGATTTTGATGAAACTTATGTAAGATAGTTCTCAAAAAAATATTTGACACGTATTTTTTTTTATCGGCAATCGTGCATATTGAAGGGGTGAAAATAGCCCTCGAAGTTGGGAGTTGGAATCATATTTTTGGGAATATCTCCGAAATTAAAGAAGATAATTGGATTCTTTTTTTTGTAAGTTGTTCGGTCTTTAAATAGGGAATTTTTGTGCGTAAAAAAATTTCAATAAACTTTATTTGTTTAAATAATATTTTGAAAAATTATCATTTTTGTTTAAATTTTTGCACTAAATGTTGATCTATTTTTTTGCAACTTCGTGTACGTATACTATGGACAACATAGGCTTTTATGGTTAATACTGCTTTTATACTTTTACAGACGTAAAGTCTTCAATATAAATAAAATATTTAGCACTTTTGGAAACTTTGAGATTTTTTAAGAAACTAAGAAAATAGAATTAAATTAAATTATTTTTTGACAATATTGACCATAAAAGCCTATGCTCCTTACGGCGTTGATTATAACCGCGTCACGCTCATATCTGCAACAATTACAATAATTATTCAGAAATCAATTAACGGCATATGAAGAGGTATAAAATCGCTAAAATAATGTAAAAGATTGTAAAAATAATGATATTTTTAATAAAAATGCTGATTGCCCCTCTCCACAGGAGGTGATTTTAAATTATATATCTAATAAACATTGCAACAAACAACAAATTCCAAAAACACGGATCCTCTATTTTTGTCCATAGTTTACGTACACGAAGTTGCAAAAAAATAGATCAACATTTAGTGCAAAAATTTAAACAAAAATGATAATTTTTCAAAATATTATTTAAACAAATAAAGTTTATTGAAATTTTTTTACGCACAGAAATTCCCTATTTAAAGACGAACAATTTACAAAAAAAAGAATCCAATTATCTTCTTTAACTCCGGAGATATTCCCAAAAATATGATTCCAACCCCCAACTTCGAGGGCTATTTTCATCCCTTCAATATGCACGATTGCCGATAAAAAAAAATACCTGTCAAATATTTTTTTGAGAACTATATCTCACATAAGTTTCATCAAAATCGGCGTGTCTGGGTTGGATATGTTCCCTTATCAGTCTACTTTTCCAGTTCGGATACATAATTTAATCTTTTACACTCGAAAGATGATTCGGCTTGATACAATTTGAAATATTTTTTAATTTTGTAGTTTGCCGAACGTAGAAAAGAGCGACGGAAACGTCCGAACGACCGAATGTAAACAAACAGTAACATATTCATGAGATATCGCGAATGCAAGAGTAAAACTTTTTTATTCTTGAGTTTTTGTTATGAAACTCTTACCTTACATACTTGTGACATTTCCTTATTAAAAGGACGTAATTCGAAATATATTTATTTGTAATTTTAAGCGTTTTATGTATATAAAACTTTGTTGTAGTAAAATACGCGGAAAACGGACGAATAATGACACGCCGGGTAATTTTGTTTTTCTTCGGTGTTTAATTCGGTTCACGAATCACGTGATTTGGATAACAGTCGACAGTCGAAATCGTATTCTATGGCGATATAAATCATAGGCCTTATGACTTTGTGGATTTTATTCTTATAAGTTGTGATAAGTAAATATGTCTCAAATTATGTTGCATTTGGCTTTATTTTAATCAGGAAAATGTCAAAAATCTAGTAATAATTGCATAACAAAAACGTCAAAAATAAATTGCTTTATATGCGGCACAACTGCCAAACTTTAATAAAATAACTTTTGAACCAATGGATTCCGATGTACAGAATCATTATATTTCGTCTGTATTTATTGTATACTATTAGACTACGCGAGAAAGGATAAAAAGGAATGGTCCCAAGACGATGTTTCACCTGACGGAAAAACTTGTTAGAAATAAACGAACAGTGAGCCTGACGAAAGTCAAAATTGCATATCACTCAATTACAAATTCAAACAGTGCTTCTATCACATATCAAAATAACAGTTACTTTTCAAATTTTTATCTCGTCGAGTAAAAGGTCGTTCTTATTTAACCAGTTAACTATAGAATTTAATGAATTTACGCATCATAGGATGCGTAGTTGCAATGGAGTGACGAGTGTAGGCGCAGTTCACTGGTTTTATTTTACAAAAAAAGTAAAACAAAACAAGGCACCATTACATTTTTATTCGATAAAAAATTAACAAGTCGGTAACGTCAATTGCGCTGAAATGAAATTTTGGATTGACGTGTATATACGTCGAACGCAGTTCACTGGTTAAATGAAAGTACTGTCATTGTAAAGACACTGTCATTGTAAATGTAAAGATACTTTAGAAACATCATGATTAGGAAATATTTATTTTTAATCGTAATTATTAACTGTTATAAATAAGTAATATTCTCTTTGACTATCAAAAATTATTATCGGCGACAAAAACTAATTTTGGTTGCTAAGAACTATTATCAATAAGGAAAATTTTGGTTAAAAATAACGGTTATTTACGAAAATTTCTGTTAAAAATGACTGTTATCAATGACGCAAGTTTTGGTTATAAATAACTACATCAACATAGTGTTTAAGTTTAGTTACGTATAACTGTTATCAAATTTCCTATTAGTTACTTAACTGTCTGAGTGACTACAATTTTATTTTCAGTACTGACAGTTATTAGTGACAAGGGAAAGTTGTTTTTTGTTACGGCCCATCGTATGTGGACAGTAAACATTCTGGTTACATTCGATTACTCTGGTATTATTAACATCTGTAATACAAATCCTCAGTAGTATCCACTTGTTTCGTATAAAAACTATGTATAATTTTAATAAAATTTTTATTCATATCCACTGACATTGTAATCATATAAACACCTTTTTCAGATACGAAAAGCAGTTTTACAAAGACTTACTTACTTATTGTAAAGTACTTATAACCCTTTTTATGAAACTGTTAAAGCAAAAAGATAAATAAGGAGAAACGCTGATTTAGAATTTGAAGTACCACTATACAGAGTGTAATTAGATTGTATATAGTTAGAGAAATAATTATGCTTTACAGAATCTATAAAATATTGACATTGTTAATATTAATAATTATACTCTAATATATTATGTCAATACAATGGCAAGAGCAAAAAATACATTAACTCCCATAAATATTATACATAACAAGAAACCTCAAAGAAAAAATAGAAATAGAGAAAATATCGACGATTAGTAATATAGATGTTAACAACAATTAACAATAATGGAATATAAGCAAAAAAAATTTGCTGTCCATATTCATTAAGCTGTAATAAAAAGCGAACTTCTCACCGTCGATAATAGGCATCAGCGATAAAAATGAAATTCTAGTCATTTGTAATGTTTACTTATATTTAAAATGTCTTCCGAATATTTACATTGGATGGTAACCAATATTAAATTTTCCTGTCATGGATAATGGTTTTTCATAACCAAAATTGATTTAGGCCGACGATAATACTTATTTGTAATGAAAATTAATTTTTGTCATAAACAATAGTTATCCATAACCGAAATTAATTTTTGTCGTAAATAATAATTGTCCATTACCACAATTAATTTTTACCGGCGATAATAATTATTTGTAACAAAAATTAATTTTTGCTATAAATAATAGTTAGCCATAAACGAAACTAATGTTTGTTGACAATAATTATTATCCATATAAAAAATTAATTTTTTCGACAATAATAATTATCTGTAACGAAAATTAATTTTTGTCATAGGTAATAGTTATCCATAATCAAAACCAATTTTTGTCAATAATGGTTGGTAGTGTGTAATAAAAATGTTAATCATTCATAACAGTTATTTCTTAAGGATATTAATCTCTATATTATAAATACTATCATTTTTCTTATTACAACAATAATATTGATTTTTATAAAAACTACAATAGTTTTGTAAAAATAATTGAATGAAAATTACAAATAATAACTGAGATCCGAAATTTAAGGTTTGAAAATCTGAGATCTGTGGTTTCATTAGCTTATATTCATATTATTTTAATGCCCTGTTATAATGTTCCTGCATTAATGCTAATCTAATCCTTGATAACATATATTTTTATACAGAAGAAAATACTGTACCTAGATAAGAATGAAAAAATTGTACAATGTTATCTTCTCGAAATATAAATTACAAAGGAAAATTCTGTGCTTGCTTTAAAACTTGTAAAATTGCAGCAACATCTAATCAACTATAATTGCAAATGGCTGCCCCTTTGGTGAAATACAAATGTTTCTACGTTTTCTTTGCTTACAGATAAATATTTCTGTTGACGTTCATAAGGGAAATTATACCTCAATTACAGTAAAATTTAGGTAAATCTTATCACAACTATAGTAAATTTTAGGTAAATTTTATCATACAGAATTTTTAAGGTATGTCTACAATTATATCATTTTCGGCGTAAAATTAGTTTACTGCATCACTATATTACAAATTAATCTGACATTTTCTGATGATCTAACAAATACTGAAATACACCTAGGGGCAGTTAATGCATCTGTACCAAAGAACATTATAAACTTTTAACCCTAGATTTATGGATATTTAATGAAACTTCTATATAAACTCAAACTAAATTACAAAAATAAGTAAATAATGGATAATACGTAAACTATACGCTTCTTTATCTTGATGAAGATTAACATATATTTTAACAAAAGCTTCTTAACCCTTAACGGTCGCACTAAAGTATAAAACAACCCCAACCAATT